GAAATGAATTTTGCACCTAAAAAAGGTATATCACACAACTGAAAACAAAGTCTATTCTCCTCCACTTTCAATTCTAACTTCCCAATAATACTATACTACAAACCTCACAGGTGATGATACACTCAAGCTGAGTTCAGACAAATGGGGAGTAGGTCTGGGGGAATTTACAGAAATATATATGATGGATACAATATGAAAAAAACTTAAACATAGGTTGGAAATTTTAAAAATTGAAGCTTCAATACACTAAGAGCATGTGTAGATCAGAGGATAAATGAACATTGAAACTGGGTGTGGGATAGGATACACCCTGATGAGCTGATTTTATTTATTTATTTATTTTTAAAACAGAAAATGATAGGTCACCCGGGACAGCAGTGGAATAGTCTGAGATTATGGATGGCAAAAACAACAGGTCTTGAGGGGAAAAAAAAAGTAGAGAAAAGAATACAGGGGTCCACAAGTTACGAACATCTGACTTACTAACATAATTCCATACAGAGGCGTAATCTTAAAGATCTGACATACAAATGTTTCTTGTACTTATGAACAGGTATTTTATGTTGTCCTGTTTTGTGTTTCGACTTGCATACAAATCAAGGACGGCCTGCATATCTTGTTAGTTTGTAACCAAATTAAAAATCACCACTAAACTCCAAAATTCCCGTATTCATTCCACTGACAGGCTGTAGAGTACTCTTCCAGCATTTAAATGATTTTAGAAGATGTGGGAACAATAAGCTATTTGCAAATTGCTTTCCTATAATATCAGTTACTTTTATCATGATCTTGTCTGCATGTCAGTTGCACAACAAAACAATTCCTCATTTTAAAAGTACTAAAATCTTCAAATGGGCTAACACTAGAACCAGTAATTGTTTTAGAATACATTCAGATCTTAGCAGTGACTGCAGACCTAACCTAAAAAAGGCTTACTCAAGTATGAGATGATGGCTCCAAAATTGTGCGAATATGAGCAAATAATTTACAAACAACAATGAAGCTAATGAGCTTTGTGAATATACTGCAAAGTTTACTTAGTATCATTTATTGCACACTTGGGTAAGGTAAGATGACACATAGGATGGTAGTAAAATATATAAACATTATTTTTCCAGTGTAAAATTAGCAGTGCATCATCTGTAATGGTTAATAAATAGGGATACCCCTGGGATAATAGGCACAATATACAGCTTCCCTGATATTCAGCCTGCTGAAGCAATTGTTAATTAGTTATCATAGTTTTCCGTTAAAACAGTACTCTGTTCTTAAGTTCACAATAACATAACTTTATGTTTGCAGCACTAGTTAAACAAACAACTTCACCGTCTGAACAGCAGAAGAGGGCAATGTGTCATGAAGGTCAAGAGCAGCTGACTGATCTCAATTATTTTGCTCAGATAGTTTTATACTCCTCTGTACGGTTTTAAAAGCATACTGGAGGAAAAGCCAATGCTCAGTTCTCATCCCTTTCAGGGAGACCAACTGTTTCACAGCAACATGATCCACTTTTGCACTTTATCTTTTCCAAATAAATAAATCTAAAGAGCGAAATGTCAAAACTCCAACATTGCTTCCATCATTGAGCACATGTTCTTCGTGATATACAGTTTATTTTTCTCCTGTAAGTTTTTCAACAGCAAACTGATTGCAATAAACAAAACTTGTTCTTTTACCAATTTTAACTACGCAGCAATTATACAGCAGCCACTTGGCAGCTGCAATGGAATTAACCACCTAGTAAATTTGGGACAGCTAGTGTTACTAAACTTAATAGAATAACAAAACATAATTTTGCGTTATATCTAAAAATCCCCATTTAGTTTCATTGTATTAAAAAAAATAGTAAATTTGAAATGTCCCTTCATCCAGATGATTTTGTGAAACACATTTCTATGGGGGCAGAGAATCCTGGCTAATTATGGTATATCTATAATACTTCTCAATTCTTATTTTTCAAGCGGTATATATTAACCAATATAAATACTATTAGGTCAGCCGTGGAATGAGCAAAACAGTAGCACAATTATGTTTCAGAAGTTCACGGACATGGCCCATTAAAATGTGGGCCCATTCCATAGAAATAATCTTTTTGGAGCCATTGTGGTAACAACTACTTTGGCCTTTAGAAAGGCCACAAACTGTTACTAGATTAACCTTTCCTGGATCCTGGAGGGGATCAATTATCTTTAATTGACAGGGACAATGGTTTTGCTGGTTGCATAAGAGTTTCTTTTTTAAAGTTTCATCTTTGACCCAAAAGGGCACCCCAGGCAGTGCACCTCTGGGTTATTTTCCAAGAACATTATTGGCAAGTGCCGTGCAACCACCAGGTTTTAAGATGATTGTATTGTAGATCCATAGGAATTTTAAGAACAAAGTCTTTTCTGTAAATGGATTAAAAGAGCATATATATGTGAAGACAATGTAAACTGTTTTGATTTATTATTCCAAGGAAAGAGCAAATGAAAGCCTGTTTGTAACAGGCTATTTCTTTCTGTCTTGAAGGCCCTTTTTAGGGAAGCCAATAAGTTAAAATAATTACTTATTATTCAGTTCTGCAACTGAAAGATTTATGAATGAATCTCAGTATCGTTGGCACTGTGCCATAATCCTGAGGACTCTCATGTTTCTAAGAAAAGCTAGAGAATAAGGGCCAATTCAGCAATTCTGGTTAAAAAGCACAAGGCAGATTGTGTGCCAGCAAAGCAATGAATGATGAACTGGCCTCACCGGATGCTACAAAACCAGCTTATGAATATCATTATTGCAGTGTACACAATTCAAGCTTTATGCAGGATAGAAGATGAAGAATGCCCCACGCACAGCCATACCTCAAAGGGGCAGACCAATTGAAAACATTGCTACACTTGCATCTTCCATAGATTTCACAAATTAAAACTTCAAAATATAAAGCTGGTCAGTTAATGACATCCAGATGGACCTCAGCCTCAGCACACTGTAGTCACTACATGATCAGTGATTTCATTGGAAATGTGTCTGCATAGTGAATACCAACCTATTCACATATTAGTTATAGATAGTGAGCAGTTATGCCAAACTATTTAGTGGGAAAAGAATTGAAAATGCTGGCTGTGCTGACTAAAGCATATGACCTATTGATCTATTCACAGGTAGCAGGTTAGCTGATATTTCAGTACCAAGGAATAAACCACAGTCAAGGACAAAGGTGACTTCACCAACCACTGATAATGCTTTAGTGAAAGTAACAGGGAACTAAAGGTTTCCAAATCTCCTGGCTAATTCAAAAAAGGTGCAAAGCTTGAATATATACTTTTTGTTTTCAGTGCATGGATCCCTATGAACGTATGTCACTTCTAATGAGTATAAATGACCTATGTTAACAGCTTGACCAATTATCTTAAACTAGTTGTTAGTGTAGCTATTAGCACATTTAGGATTGTTTAGTCACTACTGCAGAAATACAGAGTCAAGCATTAGATGTTCGTTTTGGATTTTCCAAGCACAGGGTGGCTGAGTATGTTCTGTATTCCACAATAAACAACTAAGGGAACATTCTGCTTTATTTAATCAGCCAGTTGCAAGAAGATGCAGCCTTACATCCCAGCACACTGATCCTGAAATTCATACACCATGTTATTTTCTCCATGGCAACACTTCAGTCACAGTTGTCTTGCCAATCAATCGGTCCCCTTTCTCCTGTAGCATAAATTGCTTTGATCATTTGAATTTTGCCATTCTTGAATTAGTCCTGATAAGTACAAGGCAAAAAAGCATCAACAACAATGAGAGATAGTAGGAACTGCCGATGCTGGAGTCTGAGATAACAAGGTGTAGAGCTGGATGAACACAGCAGGCCAAGCAGCATCAGAGGAGCAGGAAGGCTGACGTTTCGGGCCTGGACCCTTCTTCAGAAAACAATGTCTCCCTTCAGCAAAATTCAAGCCTTGTAATAAAATAAAAGCAAAGTATGGTGGATGCTGGAAAAACTCAGTAGACCTGACACCATCTGTGGAGAGAGAAACAAAATTAATGTTAAATCTCATATGATTCAATTTAGGAACATTCAGAGGAACAGGTGGACTGAAAACGTTAAGCTAATTTCTCTTCACAAATAAGACTTATTGAATTTATTTAGTTATTGTCACATGTATTTTTCAATGAAAACTATTGTATAATGTCACCATTCTCTGGCACTATATTAAAACAGAGAAAAATAAAGTACTCAACCTTCTTGTTAAGTGCTCCACCATGGGCCTGGTACCAGGTACAGGTCCCCTTCACTGAACCACTGCAACGAAAGTCGCCTCTCTTTGACACCATCTCACCTCCACCGACGTCCTCACCACTATGAGCCTTCACTGAACCTCGCCAATGCCGCTGAGTACAGCAGTGGCCCAAACTCGGCTCCACTGTCGAGTCCACTTTGGGCCCATCTCACCGATGCAGCCGCTGCCAAAACCTGCCTCCACGAGTCTGCATTCAGTACAGATGTTGTGGGAGCCCAAAATCGCCTCTACCGCAGCAGCCATGAGTTGGCGCTAGGACCACCTCATCAATGCAGAAGCTGCCAGGAACCCAAACTAGCCTCCGAAACCACCTCTACGAGTTCGCACTGGGCCAACGTGATGTCATCACTGCCACCGAACTCTTCAACAAGAGTTAAGTAAAATGAGAGAAAAAAATAAAAGCGTAACCCCGACTCCACTGCCGTCTTACCAGAAGTTTCTACGGCACTTTTTATTTCATATTTTGCACCACCTAATGACAATATGTTTCAGCTTAGTTATTAACTAACTCCATATTAGCAACCAACTTCTGCTAATTAATTTTCCCTTTTGCCACCATTGATGGAAGCAAATTGGCTTAACTATCACAACAGACTTTTATCATATACCCTAGTCACTTCTTTCTATACTTTCAACTCAGGACCAGAATTTAAATAACTAACAAAAAAAGATTTCTTGGCAACACATACGCAGCTGCCAATTAAAATGTATTTGAATTATATATTACAGATCATTTGTATTGAATCAAATGGCTGGACACCACAGTGAAGCAGCTGTAGAAGACAAACAAGATCTATCAAAAATGGGCTGGAATATTCTTCTGTAAATGCAACTTTTTTTGACCTTATGTATCAGAACAGAATTAAAGTAGGTGATGCACAGTATACTGCTGGTTAAAATTATTTCATTTTTGCTGGTGAACTGCAGTCGTGAAACTATTTTATACATGCTATGGAAAAATCAACAATGTACTTCACTTTTGTTGACAACCCTTGCAGGATGCCAAGATAACTTCTTTGATGCTCTCTTCTGAGAGCAGATTAGATTCAGTAGTGTACCAATGTCTTGCTCATGCAGAAATGGCTCAGATAACTGCCACCTCCACTTGCTCTTCATTAGAGATATACGTTTCTCCTCAAACTCACTAATTATCATCCACGTGTTTAGATTGGTAATAGGAAGCAGGGTAGAAGCTGCAATCAATAGCTGATTCCACATCAGACTATAGGAGAAAAGGATGATACTTTATTACAGGAAAGATAAACAATTTAACAGGCATGAAGCCAATGTACTGTATCAATATGACTGCTGTGCAATGCACGTTGCTATGTCTTAGTCCATCCATTGATAAGAGTCTAAATTTATCAGTGGCTACTTCCTATTACAGCATCCACAGTATTTTGCATATGCAAATCTGAAATAAGAACTGAAAATGCTGGGAATGCTCAGCAATTCAGACAACAACCAATAAAAGGAAAACAGTTTTTGCTTCAGGTCTGTGACCTATCATCAGAACTGCAAAACAATTTAAATAGTTTTATGAAAATTCAATGGGGTGGGTGGAACAGAACAAAGGGGAAGTTTTAGGGCGAAAAGCAGGAAACATTAAATATAAAAAAAAATGGTGAGGCAGACTTAATTGGAATGGCAAAAGCACAAGAAACAAAATCTGTGTCTGAGATGTGAATAACAAAATAATGAACAACAATAAAATCAAGACCACAATGTGCAAATAAAAAAGGAAATGTAGAAAAAGATTGTGATCTGAAATTGGTGATCTCATATGGATTCCAGAAGGCTCTAAAATGCTCAATTGATAGTTGGGGCTTTGATCCTCAAGTTTGCGATGAGCTTCAGATGAATTTCACAGCATGGCAAAGACAGCAAAGTAGAGAATTAAAATGGCAAACCAATGGAAGCTCAGGGCCATATGTGTACAGTTTGCAAATGTTTTGCAAAGGGTCATCCAATCCGTATTTCGTCTCCTTGATATAGAACTGATCACACTTGAGCAGTAGATACCATATCCCAAAATAAAAGAAATACTTGTAGATCACTTTTATCTGTAAGGAATGATTGGGTATTCAACAGTGAGGAAAGAGGTAAAATGACAGGTTGTCATGGAGGGAATGCGTCTTCAGAATTTGAAAGGGGAAGTGAGAGGAAGATATGTTTGGTGGTGGCATTAGGCTGAAGGTGGCAGAATTGGCAGACAGTAATCCTTTAAATAAGGAAGCTGAAAAGGGGAAGGTTGTGAACAAGAGGATCATGGTTCTCAGAAGGAGGGAAAGAAATGGAAACAAGTGCTGAAGATGGGTCAGGTGAAGATAAAGGACCTTGTCAGCTACAACAGAAGCGAATTTTCAGTTAAAGAAAGAGGAAGACATGTCCAGAATCACTAATGTGGAAAATTGCATCATTAGAATGGCACAATGGAGATAAAGAAACTAGGAGAATGGAGTCCTTACTGGAAGTAGGTGTCCAAAATCAAGGAAGGGAACAAAGGGTCAGACATAGGTACAACAAAAACTAATGCAAAATACCTTTTCAATTCAACTACCATCTCTTTAGTTTTCATTATTAATTCACCAGAATCACCTTCTCTAGGACCAATGCTCACTTGTTCATTTTTTTAAAAATCTGTAGAAACTCTTGCTGTTCATATAGTTCTAGCAAGTTATTCCTCATTCTTCAATTTTTTTTCTCCTTTATCTTGGAGTCATTTTTTCTTGGGTTTTACTTTTGTCTAATCTCCTGACCTGCTAACCATATTTGTGCAATTATGCTTTTAATTTTGGTACAATTTTTAACTCTTTTAGTAAAACATGGATGATGGGTGCTCGTGTTGATTTTTTTTTAGAATGAATCTATTCTGAGTATTATGAAATATCCCTTAAATGTCTGCCACTCTTAGTCTTTGCCCTAAATTTACATTCACTTTAGTTAGCTGTGCTAATTGCAAGTGGAGTACAACATGGCAAATGTGAAAATGTCCATTTTGTCAGGAAAAACAAAAATATTATCTAAATGGTTAAAGGTTATAGAGCGCTGAGATGCAAAGTGATCTGGGTGTCTTGTGCATGAATTGCAAAAGGTTAGCATGCAAGTACGACAAGTAATCAGGAAAACGTATAGTATATTCTTGTATATTGGTGAGGAGAATTGAACACAAAAAGGTAAGAAGGGGATTCTTCAATTATGCAGGGCACGGGTGAAACCACATCTGGAATACCTGTCCAGTATTGGCCTCCTTATTTAAGGAAGGATGTAAATACACTGAAAATAATTCAGAGATATACTAGCTTAATATCTGCAATAGCCAGACTGTCTCATGGAGGAAAGGTTTAACAAGCTGAGCTTGCATCCACTGGAATTAAAAGAATAAGAGGCAACTTGCTTGAAACATATAAGATTGAGTTTTTAAAAAATGCTGTTATAGAATGTGGGTGTCTCTGTAGGGTTAAGCAGTTTGAATACAAAAATAAGCATTTTTTTCTTAAAAGAAACCATTTTGTTGTCCAGGATACCTGTGGGTTTAAACATCTAGTTACTTATGTAAAGCTAACTTACTGCAGAGTGCTGACTGCTTTCAATTTTACAGGGTCAATGTATTTGCATAATAATTCAGAGCTGCCTGCCTAGTACCGAGGGGTAGCCTAATTGAAAGGGGCGGGAGTGACAAGAATCACGCTTTCTCAGGAAATTTAAAGGGATAGTCACTTAAATGCAAATTCCAAAAATTCCTAGATCAATTGAAAAGCTCAAGATTGATTTTGGTTCTTTAACAAGCTTCAATATGTCAGGTAAGAACAGATTTTACAATCTGAAGTTCTGCATTTAAGGCATAAATTTTGCATTTCTGTTGATAGTTTAATGGTTTGTTATTTGTAACAAAAAAAAAATCAAAAAGGAGTTTAGGGAATCATTGCACAAAATTGAACTTCCAACAGATTCAGGGATATTAAAGAAAAATCAGCAAAGAACGTTGGTTGTAATATCCCCAACACTCCAAAGAGACTGCAAAGCAAATATTCAAGAGAAAATCTTACTTATAACTATGAGTAATTTCACTGGGGACATTAATGTAAAACAATTGCAGTGACATGTTAATCCGAAATCAAGTGTATGACAGGAGCCAGCTTTACGCCAGTTACAGTTTAAACTCAGTTATCATATGAAATGATGATCTTTCTTATTAGCTTGGAGGCCTACGAAATTTTCAAGGGCATCTTCACAAAAACAGAAACAAAGCTATACAAGACAAGATATTCGAATGTTAAATGGACAGAATTTACTTTGTGGAATCCCAGGTAATGTTGCATGTCTGAAGGTTAGTTTGTCTTGACAACTAGGGGCATCTAAATCTATATACTACAAAAGAGTAAACTTGACTAGCTGATAATTAAGCCTTTATTTACAGCTGGTACTGAAACATTCAAAATCTTGAATTGCTATCGATCACATCATATCAGTTGAGGTAGCATAGAAGACTACCTGATTTTTCCAGTGCTAAAAATCATTTTTAAATATCCAGGACATACATGTTTTTTCAACAATGTATTGCTATACTGACAT